GCATCAATTTCATTGTTTATTGCAAAAAATCTGAACATTACTGTGTTGTATTTGAGTCAGTGGTTGAAGATTTGACTCGAACGGAGGTAATTTGGCCTTTTGCAACTGCATGCATGCATGGTAGCTAGATGCGCATTTTGTCAGGGTCTCGACTGGTCTTGACTTGGAGACCCAAGACTATGGCATCCGAGACCAAGACCAAGACCGGCGCTTTCAAGACTGAGACCGGCCCTCCCAAGACCGAGACTTTGACAGGGCAAGACAGAGACAGAGACCGGAAAAAAGGTCTCTACTCTAGACAGTCTCGAGACCGAGACCAGGTCTCAAGACCTGCAACACTGGTTGGAAAGCTGCCAGTTCTCAAGCCAAGTCCCAACTCTTTGGAGAAAAATGTTGCCCTTTAGTTGTATTATGTTTGTTCTGTTGGGTATGACGGTGTTTAGAATGTACTTGAGTCTGTCCACACTAATGCATACATTTGCATCCAACCGAAATCATCTCTCCCTTAAACACTGTTGAGAGTCAAGAAAGGAACTTTCACAATTTCACTGATATTTGTAGAGATAATTAATTTGTAACTGTAGAGATATACATGTAGTTTACACAATTTAATAGGACTTGGTAGTTGCTAAATTAATCAGGATTTTCCTGAAAGTGTCCAGCTTATTTTAGGGGCACCGGTGGGACATGCACATAACCGTTTCAGCTCATGTTTTTCAGGTTGAAACACTACTATCATGGAGAAAAGCGTTTCATCTGTTAAAATAGAGGTACTACAGGTACAAGGTTAGGATTTGATGAGTGACACCGTTACCTTGTATTCATTAAATAAATTTCAGTGGTATACACTGGAATTGTTTTTCTGAGATTATGAAAGTCTCTCAAAGTAAACTAAAAAGACTGTTTAATACGCTGCAGGTCATGATCAATCACACATATACATTATATTTAGTATTATTCATATTTAAGAAACAAAGTGTCTGTCCATGTGACAAATGTTAAATCTTCAAGAATAAACCTCTGTAACTTCTTCAATACTGCTTATTTTAGCTTTAACTTTCCGTGGTAACAATCAGAAACAGAGAAGACATGCATGTGTGTTAGCAAAAAAATGGCAAAATTTTACAGTTGGAAGTTTGTATTGATATTTCAGCGTGGACTGACCCACAAGCGTGGGAAGGTTTTGGTAGGTTTTTGACATGTAAGGAATATGATGGTCTCTGTGTACATGTACCGTACATGCAGCTGCAGTGTGCTTGCAGGTGGCGCTGTTGGTTATCCTGGTCAAAGCAAACACTTGATAATGCTCTTTGTATTTGAAAGTCACTTCATTGCCTTTGTTGGAGAGATTGTATTATCCTTGGATTGCGCCAATGTGTACATAATAAGAAAGAATGAACCTTTGACCATCTGGAAGTGTAGTGTCAACTCTTGGGATGGTGGTCATGGCTTATCCCTGAAGGGATTATACCCTGATCAAGCAGGAGAAACTTGAATTGTGACAAGAGTTCTTCCAGTAAACCCTGCTGTCGTCAGTGTGTCTACCGGCAACCTTCCTCACCGGAAACGCCCACTGCAGCAACCAATCTTACAAAATATGCTCAAACATCTGGATAGATTTTTGAGGATGTGGGACGGCAAGGGCAGTCACCGTGTTCTGAATTACAATCTTGTTTCCATTGAACAGTTGTTTGCTTTGCAGTCTGTATTTCAAATGGTGAATCAGGATTTCATTTGGGGACGAAAAATCTACCTGTCAGAAGTTTAAAATTGCCTGTCCTCTCCCAGCAAAAATTTACGTTGCTGTCTGAGCCCGTGATTCCATTGTACTTGGTGTTTTAGAAGGAAATCAAAGATTCATTTGCAACTGTAAAAGGTTTCTGTTGTAGAGGGAGGTGGCTGCAACTTGCAAATATTGACCCAGTAATACCTTCCACGATCAAAACTGTCTTTGCCTGTCCTCGGGACAGGTGAACACATGGCAAGATGAGACACTGTGGTAATTTTTCAATAGATGAACGAAGAAATCGGCTGCAGCATGACTTGAACAGGCGACCTTTTGAACACTGCACTGGTGTTCTGCCAGCTGAGCTACCCAGCCCCACGTTGGTCTTTCTTTTCATTCGTCAATATCTTGGTTCAGGGGGATGCTGCTTTGATACATGTATCTGACTTGCTGCATTTCTTTTCGTCTCCTCAGGTACCGGCGGATGGAAAAGGATCTGGAAGCTGCCAACAAGCGCATCCAGGCCCTGGAGACATCCCTGGGTGAGAGGGACGGCCGCATCAGTGCCATGCTGCATGAGAAGAAGCAGCTGGACGATCTGGTCAACGAACTGAGGAAGAACCTGGCCAGCAAGGAGAAACAGCTACAGGCTGCTAAGAAGCAGGTGAGCTGGTTGCTAGAATACAGGGTCAGGGGTTGTTGGCTAGTAGTTTTCAAGAGAGATGCTTAAACCCATTTGGAGTTGGGGCTGCGCATTTTGGCAGTTTGTTCTTGTGTTGGTGAGGAGCTTTCTTGAATCCACCAGAGCTCGTCAGTGTTTAGGAAAGAAATTTCATATTCAGTGGTAAAGATTTTCAGTCCTATCCCTGCAAAATCTTTCAAATCTGGATGGAGTTTTAGGGATCTGGGAGGTCAGGCTTGAAAAGTGTTACTAGAGTGCATGTATTCAATTGTGGAGAACTGGTGCATACAGTAGACTGTAAAATCAGCCCTACTGCCCAGTTTCAACTTACTATTAATTGATAAGCCGTTGTACTAATGGTGTCACACCTAATGTGTGCACCCTCCTGTGGGAGCGAGGTGGGGTTGATGGGTATTGAAGCATTAGAGGAAAACGTAGATTTCAAAAAGTAGGACGTCAACAGGATGACTGCTTATTAGGACTCGGCCACAAAGAGTTTGAGAGATTCCTGACTTGAATTCATGAATGGAATTCCACGTCTTGACAGGTTGAGGAGGAGACAGTGCTACGTGTTGACCTGGAGAACCGTATTCAGAGTCTGAGGGAGGAGCTGGACTTTAAGAAGCAGATGTACGATCAGGTAAGGTCTCCTAATGCGCTGGCTGCAGAACCTCTGGCCTGGAGTTTTGTGGAGCTCTTCATCAGAACAAGCTGGCTGCCCATTTGTACCAGGTTACTATACATTTACCATCAGGGAGCAGTGTGAAATGTCATTTGCCACATGCGAAAATGTGCATAAGGAGCGGTTGTCGGATTTCACTTATTTGCCAATAAATGGAGAGTTGTGTCTGAATTTCAGACTTTTGGGGATAGTTTGGGGTTAAAAAGGGGGCATTCGGAGTATCAGAAAGAAGGTGAGCACCAAATGAAGCAGATACTTGTTAGCCTGAGTTGGCCCTAAGCAACTTTGCATTGACAGGTGTACTTTGTTGTACTGGTGTTGTGCAGGAAGTTAAAGAGATCCGAAGCAAGTCCACCATTGATTTCACCGAGATTGACAACCAGGCCCGCAGCGAATACGAGAGCAAGCTGATCGAGAGTCTACAGGAGCTGAGGGAACAACATGAGGCCCAGACCCTGCAGCTGCGAGCAGAGACTGAATCCATGTTTGAGTCCAAGGTACCGTCCCTTAACTCTCCTGGGATATTTTTCCCTACCAGGAGCCTTCCTGAATCCTCCCAAGAATCCTCCACTGTGCTGGAAACTAACTTGACAGTCTGGGTTTTGGATTTCATGGGGCATCCAACCCTCCATGGGTCAAGTATTTAAACACCATGCTGGCAACAAGTAAGCGTGGAGGTCAGTGATCAGTGGCTGTCTGCATGTTTTGATTGGAAAAGCTTGCATTACCCATGTACCTCTGAGATTTTTTGGTGATTGTTCAGACGTCTGAAAGGAAGTCTGTATGACATCATTTTGATTGGTGGAATACAAAAATATTACCAAATTATTGGCACATTGGTGATAAATTTAGTGACTGAATTATGCATATGTCCCCATTGTGAGACTGGATCGTTCAGGGCAGGGGATTCTGCTCAGGTAAGGGAGAGATAAAAGAAACATCAGGGGTAAAACTGTGCACTCAGTCCTTAAGTTTAGTTTTTTATCTGTTCTCCTAATTTGAGAAAGTTGCTCTCACAAATACGGATATATTTGGTCAAACAGAGTCTAGATCAAGGCATCATGAAGCAACCACTGACGCAGTGTCATGCCGAGTGCATACCTGCTTGAACTCTTGGGTTATCACCGCTGCATCCTTTCTGTGAAATGAACCTTTCACTGTCGTTTTCACACAGGTGAGTGACTTGAAGGCCCTAGCCGAGCGCTACCGCAACGCCTCGGTGTCAAGCCAAGACGACCTGCGTATCATGCGTACTAAAGTGGACAACTTGCATTCAGAGCTGAACACCATCAAATCTCAGGTAAGGAGTTTTCTGCATGGTCCTCCTGACCTTTTTTTTTTAAGGTTTTCGGAAAGCACTCCAAGTAAAAGTTGTGCTTTAGAGAGGCGTACAGGAAAAACATTTTTCTCAAAATGTGGATTTTGATTTGTGGTTTCAAGTTTCCCAACATACTGTTCAAAAGCAACATGAACTCAGTGCTTTTGAGAGCTTAAAAAATAAATTCATATCTAATGTGAGCCTTCTGTTTTTTTTTGTGCGTGCCCTGTCTCGGCTACATCTGCGTTGAGCAGGAACACCCCCTCATTGGTTGAAAAGAGCCATGTTGGTCGGGAGTATTCATTTTGTTGGTAGCAGTGTGACATTAATGCGTGCACTTCCAAGTCATTCGTGAAGCAGCGAAGTTCAGTTCCAAACAAAGGAGGCTCAGTTGCTAAGAAAATGGCACCCTCTCTTGGTCCAGCTCGAGGCCCATAGCACCCATGGTTTGACTTTACAAATGCTAACCTTTGGTGGTCGCTTGTTCAAGATTTGTGTGATATTTCCTCCGGCATCATCACTTTTTAAACTCCAGGACAGTGTTGTGGAGTGACATGTACCACAGCAGCCACCCTTAGCCCACGGCTGCTTGAGTGTTCCACACATGCTTCCACACGGAGGTTTGAGCCTCTGTTTGTACAAAGTGGATGGGAATCACCCAAGCGTGGGGATGAGGGTGAACATATACACGCCACAAAGTCCTGCACACTGGATTCGGCAGAACTTACTTAAAACATCCTCTTTGTTGTGATGTGAGAAATTCCTGCATGTTTACACATCTCTCGTGAAGTGGCTAATGTGTTTGTTCGACATCTCTTCCTCTGTCTGACAGAATGATGCCCTGATCGCTCGCATCAAAGACCTAGAAGATCAGCTCAAGATAGAGCAGGACAACCATTACGAGGCCCTGAACGACCGCGACAAGGAGCTGCAGCAGTTGCGAGACGCCATGGCCAGCCAGATGCTGGAGTATGAAGAGCTCTTGAGCATCAAGCTGTCCTTGGATACTGAGATCGCCGCCTACCGCAAGCTATTGGAAGGAGAGGAGAGCAGGTCGGTACCTCCCTCACAGGCTCCCAGAGAGAAACATAAAGCGCATTGGTTTCTGGATTATGGCTAAACTTATTCTGTAAACCTCTGTTGAATGTTGCTTGGTTTTTCTGCAGGTTGAAAATAACCCCGTCTCCACCGCGCAAGACCCAAATCAGCCAGCGCGTGTCTCGGGGAGTCAAGAGGCGTCGGATTGATGAGGAGGCCAGCACAGTTCAGAGCTCCACGACCACCGGCCTGGTAGCTATCATTGAGAGGGATCTCAAGGGTGACTTCATTAAGCTTCAGAACACCTCTGACCAGGTTAGAACGTGTATTGCGCCCTTCATGCTATCACTGACATTACACAATAGCACAAAGTTTTACTTGTGTGCACGATTTCTGCCTAACTTTTTCAACCCGCCCATGAGTGCTGCACATGTTCTGCGGACATTTGAAATTGAAACTCATAATTTCCACAGTTGGAAAAGGTTTTAGTTAGATACTGTAAAATTCCATAAATGTAAGCATGGCATAAATTTGTGTCAGATTGGTCACAGCATAATTCTCTGATTTGTGTATTGGTAACATGCTTGCGTGTGCAATTTGTGAAAACCAAACTCCTTATGGTATGCGCTCATACCTGTGTGTCAGTTCTTGCAACCAGAATTGTTCATTAGACAATTTTCATGAAGAGTTACGGTACCTGGCCAGAAGTTGGTATGTGGAGATGGTGACAGCACTATGGCCTGGCAAAACTACCGTATCCAGACATTCGTCTTAACACATTGTGCATAAAGAAGTATTTATTATGGCAACAAAATGTTTTTGTCCAAAACTGTTGGTTGCTCTGTTGCCATCGTACAGCTGAGACCAGTTGTACGGAATCCATGGATATTTAATCGATGCACACAGCATCGTCAAAAAATGCCGCAGGGGACCCTTTGGAAAAGTGCCAAGTTACCCCCAATCAAAGTGACAAACAGTTGTTTGAAGGCTGGCTAATTTGAATGTGTCAACTCGTCTTGCTAAAGTTTCTAATGGTAAGCAAAATGAAGGTTATCAAAGCACTTGTAGCAAAATTGTGCGGACCTGTTCTTATACAGTATTATAAAACTGGGAAAAAAAACAAATCAAAGTACTTTGTTTCAAAACCTGCTGAAAACTAGATACCTGAAGAAGTTTAATTTCCTAAATATTCTACAGAGTTTTTGTAGAGAGAGCTACCTTTTGTACCAGATTTACTGAGTTAAAACCTTACTTTTGCTTTTTTGCTCCTCGTATTCTAAGGACCAAGCCTTAGGTGGCTGGACCCTCAAAAGTCAAGTGGACGGTGGGGATGAGCTCAACTACAAGTTCTCGGCCAAGTATGTCCTGAAGGCCAGCAAGGAGGTGACAGTGTGGGCCGCTGGCAGTGGCCATGGGCACAACCCGCCCTCTGACCTGGTCTTCAAGAACCAGAAGAGCTGGGGCATCGGGAAGGACGTTGTCAGCACACTGGTGGATGCCTCCGGGGAGGTGAGAGAGCCAGGGGGGAAGGGGGATTGGTCACGAGTGCAGTCACCCCCAGGGTGAAATTCCAGTGTTCTTTTTGAGTATTTTTGAAGGATGAACAATCATAGCTATGACTATCCCTTCTCTAGAGTGTGATGTCGAAATGTTGAAATGGGAAGTGTAGTGCAAACGTACATAGTGTGCGCACGTGGCAGTTCATGGTTCTTGCGCTAATGCCTTTTTACACACGTAATTGTGCGTGTGATGCATTCACTTCAGTGATAATGCTTTCCTGTGCTTCCTGCCGGGATTCTGTTGACCGTGACTGCTGGGCTGCGGTATGCCCAGTATGCAAAGCCCTGTCCAGCAGCAGGCCCACACTGACCCAGCAGCTGCATGATGAATAGAATGAATAGTGATGGTGTGCACTAATCCTCACACAAAGCTGCGGCTTTCGCCGTCCACTGACGTTCAGGGATTAATGTTTGAATGGCTTATGGAAGTTTCACTCAGTGGAGTACCGACTCGGATATAAATTTTCACTCTTTCTCCAAATCAGTTTCCGCAATTTCTGCATTTTTGTCTTTGTTCAGGTGATGGCAACCCGCACTGTAAGCACTTCGTCAATCAGCTACAATGACGATTCACAGGAGGTGGGCAATGAAGAATTATTTCATCAGCAGGTTAGGGGGGCGTCTGCTAATAGGAAATCATTTTTACTTGTGGGCTAGGGGTATCTTTGGTGCTTAACCCAGTCCTTGGCACCTGGCAAATTGATAATTTTGGGGTTCCAGCTGTATACCCAGCATGAAATGAGACCGAGGGGTA